ACTGGATTCTAGGATTCTTGGCTTAACAAGATTGAGGAGCCCTATTCTATGTCCTTAAAAATGGCTGCTGTGTAACGCTTCCTGGCTCAGTTCACAAACCAAGAGGTAGAGGACAGAGGGAGATCTGGCCTTACCGGCTCCTCCGTGGGCGCTTCCTCCGAGTTGCTGACAGAATCCTTCTGCGATTCCTGCTCCATCCGCTGCCGGGCTTCCCTGAGGAGCGTGCTGTACCGTTCATTTCCTGCAAAAGAGGAAGGGCTGTCAGGAGCAGAGCAAAGGGGAAGGAAGGGGCACAGACCTTGTCGCATTGGGATATAGGGCCGGGCTTTAGCACAGCGGGTTAAACCATGAGCTGCAGAAAATCTTGACAATTGAAAGGTCGACAGTTCAAGCCTGGGTTGGGGTCAGCTTCCAACCGTCAGCCCAACTTCTGCTCACTTAGCAGTTCAAAAACAGTAATGTGAGCAGATCAATAGATACCGCATTGGTGGTGAGGTAATAAAAGGCGCCATGCGGATATGCCAGCAATTCGATCAGGAGAGCGTCTAAAGACAACAAAGCTCCTCGGCATGGAAGATGGAGCATGGAAGATGGAGCTCAGCCTCCAGATGTCAGAGATGGAATGAGATGGGAAGCCTTTGCCTCTGTGGTCCTTATATTTACTTCACTTGTATACCGCTCTTCTCAGCCAATGGCGAGTGGAGGGGATACTCCCTTTTCTATCCTCCTCTATCTTTACTCAAAATGTATGTATGTATGTGTATATATGTATAAAATTTCAGATTTCTATCATATTAATTACACTTACTTTCGTCTGCTGCATATACACATCAGCATCTAATGTCCATGTCCTTGAATATTGGTATAACATATATAATGCATATGTTTACAATTCTTTTGACTGCAACTTAACCTGCACCTCAGAATAGATTCACCTTGCTGAAATCACCAGAACTGCACCCAGACTGAAGTTTTTGTAGTTTATTAATAAGTAAAGATGAAAAGTTTAAAAAGCAAATAATGTTCCAAAGATCAATAAAACATAGCACTGTAAAGCAGAATTCCAAATGGCTTCAATGAAGCAAAGTCCCATGAGAACATCCCAAGACCATGGACACAGGAAAAATGAGCACAAGCTGCTTGGTTGAGCAAGAAGTTGCTCTGATAAAGGTTTGCGTTCAAACCCACTACTTAATACCCTTTGCAATACATGAAAGCATTTCTTTGGCCTCTGACCTCCTTCTTGTTGGCTACTCTCACACTCCTTCGAACTCTGAATTCCAAACGGTCAGCCCAATCTAAGATTCCCGTTTCATCAAGGTCAGGCTGCTGACCTCCTTCTTGTTGGCTA